GTTTGGCCCACAGCGTGGGTTTGAAGTGTGCAGTTGGCACCTCTTATCTGAAAGAGGTGAACTGCAGGAGGTTAAGTGAGAAATTACGGAACGTTTTCCGTCTGATTCTTTTGTGTGCAATACAGTGCGTGGCTTCTAATCATGTATCTGTGTACCGTGTGACCGGTCCTAACATGCGAAGAGTCTGGTGTTTGTGCCGAGCATGCAGGGTGCTTGCTCAGAATATTAAGCGTATATGCCACGGGGTGGGTACTCCGTCGCCCCGTTCCTCACTTACAGCTTTTGTCGCTGATATAAAAGCAATGACATCTAGTGAGGAAAAAGTTACCTATGGTTTTTTTTTGGCTGCAGATACTATCTCCAAGGTAATATGGAACAATTTGCTGATGTATGTAATATTAAGCATGTACATTTGTTATTTCATAACTTAAAATGCAAAGTTAGCTTTCTTTTTAGTGTTTTCCTGATGCTTATTCGTTTATTTTTATTAATATTTATATTATTACTGTTGTTACACTATTTTAAATATGTTGTTATATCATTATCCTTAATGTTATATTTAATGTTAATATTTTACTTTGCTTATTTATTAATATTTATATTAACTAGATTTGTTTATTTATTTACTCTTTTTTCATATTAGGTTAGCCTACACAAACCAGAAATTAAGCTGGAATCACTAAAAGAAGACATTAAGGATTTTCTGAAGACTTCAGGTTTGTAATACTTCATTTCAGTAACGTTTGTGGAGGAATTGATGCTTTCCTGAATAATTATAGATATTTCTAAGAACGTAGGTGGTGTACGTGGTCACAACAGTAGTTCACGCAGCTCAGTATCCTGTCACTGGCAGTAGGCAGAGGCAGACATCCGGTAATTCCAGATTATGGAGCGCACGTGTTCTAGTGCATGTTTTACAGATTTTAAAATCTTTGTGAACTCAGACACCTTCCTCTGATTATGTTTAAAATATCAGTTAAAGATAAAAATTGTAGTTATTTTTAATGTAAAGATGGCATGATTAATTATCCACAATTAAGTGTACACATATGCAACTTTAGGTCAGCACTATTAAGTATAATCCTGTCAGAGCACTAGAATACTTCCTTAATGGCTTTCACATTTGATAAAGGAAGAAGAAAGATACCATTTTATAATACTGTCACAATTTTATAGTTCTGTGTCTGACTTATCTTGTGTTTCGATTAATGGTTTGTCTTGTCCTTTTATGTAAGGACGGGCTTCACAGAAGAAAGATTATAGGTTACAGCGCCCCGTAAATCTAGTGGAATGAAATAATTAGACTTACTGTAGGTTTGAGCACCTGATTGAGACCTGATCCTTTTTTCAGCAAGATGCCTCATTGTGTGTGGGTCTCTCAACGAAGAAAAATTGCTAGTACTTCAGGTGTGTTGTGAAAACTCTACTTTAAAATGTCATTAAATTGTTATTTCTTCAACTCAGAATTAATTATGTTAATTCTGAGTTACGTGAGGCATTGTCAAAATACATGCAAATAATATTTCTGTGTACTTTATTAAATCAGGATAGGGAAAAAGTTCTTGGATACTAGCAACGTTTGGAAAAACATAGCTTGTAAAGAAGTGATTTTATCACTTTGTAAGATACTGGGGTTTTTTTTGGAATTTTCTGAATGATACAGGAATTTAGTCACTTTTAAAATTGAAATTGGCCTTCTATGTGATTGAGGTACTCCTGAAAATTTTGTCTTTAGTCAAGCTTCCATTTTCTGTTGGAAGCTGTAGGCTATGTAACTCTAAAATGTCAATATTTGATGGTAAGTGCTCAAAGATTCATTATCACCATAAACAAGCTGTGCGCATTAATATTTATGGCTGGTTTTAGTAATATGATGGTTCTGAAAAATAGCATATAATACAACTAAAACTGTTTTGTAATGATTTGAACAGTAGAGAGAAATAAAGGATATTCAGCCTGTATACAGACCTCAACATGTAGTTTTTCCTACCTTAATTAGGTTAAGTTTTCTTCATCTCTTCCTGTCTGTCCAGTAGGTAAGTATAAATTGAAACAGGACAGCAGACTAGTGCTTCTGAAAGAACCTTTGTTTCATGTTCCAAGTAACCCATTTCAAAATGTATTAGTTCAGTAAAAGTTGTCTGCTGGATTTTTGTATTTTAACAGGTTGGGAAAAGAAGCTTCAGAATGCTGTTTATAGTGAACTCAATGTGTAAGTTTATTTAGTATGTCTATTAAATAAGTTGTATTTGCATGATTTACTTTTGATTCCTGTGTTTATATAGGAGTGTGATGTGTTACTACTGTCTGCAAGATCTTGAATGTGTCTGTCATACCAAGGGTGCCTGCTCCATTTCTGTTTTTAAAGTGCCATTATTTCTTCTTCATCCTAGTGGAAATATTGGATTTGAATGTATTTTGAAGACTTAATGAAACAAAGATCACCAGATTCTATAAAACAACTTTAACAATTACTTTGTTGTTGTAATACCAAACAGGTGAACAGTCATATTATAATTGTTGTGTAGCTGAGGTATTTATTGTAAATGCATTTTAATTATTTTCAGATGTTAATGGCAGCATCATACCTATTTGTTGTAAAAATTAGTAAAGACCTACTTAGTAAACTAGGTCTTTAAACTGAGATGTTAGATTTCTAGACTCACAGATCATTGTTCCTGCTTGGTGAGATATGATCAAAAGCACACTTAAATTTCTCAAATTTGCTTTTCATTATTGTTCAGTGCCCTATCGATTAGACTTGTGGGAAGTGTATTTGTAAGTTTCCTTTATACTCGGGGGAGGCAGAAACGTGAATTTGATAACAGGAAGCACAGCCCCAAATTTTAATAATCTAATAAGAATTGTGTATGCGAATCTATTTCTGCTTATTTAAACAAGCTATTAGTTTTGAACAATGATGTGTTGCAATACTATATGGGACTTGATTCAGCAAAATACTTGAAAATTAGGAAAAGTTACAGACCTAACAGATATTAAGGTTTCATCTTGATCACATCTTTCAAGAGAAGAATCTTTACGTGTCCCTCAGAACGATGCATATGTTCTTTGAGTTCAGTAAAATAAGCTGCAAGCAATAATGAATTTAGCCTTGAAAAAAATGAAAGTACCTGGGAATACCGTGATTTCATGAACATTATGGGGTAGATAAGAAACAGCATAACTGAAATCTGTTAGTACTGTTCCATTTTACACAGGGTCTTGTGAAACAATTTAGTGTCAAGAATAAGAATTACCAGTGAAAAATGGGGAGAAATCTGGAGGAGAGTGTCCGGAAAATCGTAGGATAGGGACTGACTGATATGTAAGAAAATGAAAATTAAGGTTGAATATGACAAAATCTCTTCCATAAGTTTTCTTTCCTTTTGAGTTGGGTAAAATTAAGCTGTATGAAATGTTTGGCAATGACTAGCTGGAAAGAAGTTTACACTAATGGAGGATAAATTATGCCTAAAAAAAAAAAAGTTTTGTTCCAGCTTTTATGTTTTGGCATAATGTAATTTATGGATGCGTACTCAAATTGGCCTAGATCAACACCACAAAATTCTAATGGCTTTAGACATCTACATGTTCACTAGTGATTTTAAAATAAAGTCCTTCAAAAAATAAAAGTGAATTGTCTCTTGAAAAAATGTGGTTTCCTGGATATTGAAAGTTTGAGGGAGTCAAACAGATGACATGATGTTAAGATGATACACTTCTAAAATAACTGATTGGTTCATTATTTTTAATATAGCTAGAACTCTTGTAAAAATATTATTAATAGGCTTACATGTTTTTGTATTGTGTGTGTCCATAGCAAAGGATGATAAAAAATACCTTTAAAAATAATATTTATTTTAGCTTTCACCGTTATCCACAGTGTTTTTACTAGTGTTCTCATGAACACTTAGGTTTACAAATAAGGCATTAAATAAGCAAAATAAAAATCTAAACGAGCAAAATAAAAATCTGAACTTTTAACACATAGTATACTTTCTTTAAGGTTTCCTTCACCCTGTCATCCTGCAGCACCTCCTGAGCACATGAAAGAGCCATTAGCTTATATGAGGAAAGCACAGGTTGGTTGTTAACAATTTTAAAATTCTTACTATATTTTTGGTTATACTATTACAAATTTAGTCTGTACAGTCTTGTATTACTATTTCTAGATTAGGAAAAAAACAGATTTGTAATTGTATGTGCATCAATGTTAATATAAATGCGTATATTTGACATTTTATATATATTTAAAAATGTTAAAGTAATTCTGTAGTCATGAAAGAAGAATGTTTACAGTAGGATATATTGGCAAGTAGGTGAATATAGCAGAATAGAGACAATGAAATGTGTAAAGGAGGAAAATTTGTTTCTGTTGGGAAGAGGAAAAAGTACAGCTATAGGTCATTTCACTTACATTTATGAAAAATGATTTTGAAAAGATACAGGCAGGCAGTTTGGCAGTGAAAGACAGGCTACGCAGAGGGGTATTCAGGAAGAAAAGATATATTTAATATTTAAAAATGTGAAAGGAAGATGAGAAGTCTAGAGCTAAGCTGCTTAAGGAGTATTGTAGGAGAAAAAGAGAAATGGCTATAAAAGATTAAGGGAGGATTTTGATGTTAGGAAAAAGAATATTTTTACTTTGTTGGATTTATTATTTTGCCAATACATGCCATTTGAAATAAATAAAATTCACATTAAAATTTGAAAAATGCTTCAAAAATATGCGGTCACCATTCTCCTCAGAATATCTGAGGTCAGGATAAAATTGTGTTTAAGGCAGTCGTGCCTAGAAATATATTACAGCATTCTTTCACAAGTTATTCAACAAATTATGTTACTTTTTCAATCATATTGTTGCTTATTCCAGTATGTCTTTTCTTGCTGTCCTGTATTGTAAATCGTTAGCCTTTGGCGACAAAGATTGTATTAAACATTTTTTCTTCCATGATATGCAACGTAACGCCACAATTTGGTGCCCCAAAATAATCAGTCATATCAATTTACTACAGTAAAAAACAGAGGCGTGTATATGTTTGTTTGTCTAGCCCAGTTTCATTGATTATTACTTTGTAAAAGTGTACTTATTGTGTACTTATTGTACACAGTACTTATTGTGTCTGATACTTTAGCTCTCTGTAGAAAAGACAGGTTTTCCAATTGATTTAGAAAGGATAGCAAAAGCCCTGTCTTAAATAGTTTCAAAGTTTCATAGCCCTATTTCAAAGGCTATTATGTATCCATCTCCCCTTTCAAATCCTTTCTCAAAATACAACTCTTCAATAAAGAAATACTAGTCCTTATCATAGGGAAGTTTTGATAATGGTGATGGTTGCAAAATAGTTAAAATCACCGGTTTGGGAATTAATATTACATTTTCTAAAAATACAGTATGAGACTTGTTTCTGAGTCACACTTGCTGCTGTGGGTAGTGAGCACATAAGAAAACAAATGTGAACAGGTCAGTTTGATCACAACGCGGTTTTATTTTGCTGCTGTTTTTGAGTAAGGAACAATAAACGGTTTTTAAAAATGTTTGCAAAGTCAGTGTTAGCATGATTTTTTTTGTTGTTTAAAATATTTAGAAACAGCTGAAATGCAAATATACAGTTTGCTAATAAATTTTCAGAATGAAGTAAAAATGAAAAAGTCGTTAGTTTATTTCTGTTAGGTATCAGAAATGTAATTAATGTTTTATCAGTAGAAGACCGTTTTTGTTTTGTGTGTAAGTAGATTTTTTTTAACCTTATTTGTCCTTTACCAACATAACATCACAGCTGGAAAAGAATGTTTTGATGGTATCAACACAATTTTTTCTGATTAAAAAAATGTTTTTTGTATATAGCGGGTTTAATTTTTATTATGTATAGATGCTTTAAGATACTATTTCCATTGTGAAGGAGAAGTTGGCGTTTTCTTTATCCTTTTCTATCTTAATTAATTTTACTCTTCTTCAGAATTCTGTAAAGAAGGGATATATTGTCTGTAAGCGATCTTATTTTAATATCAGTTATTGGAATGACTTTGAATAAAGCAATAATTAAAACTGTATTTTTCAAGTGTAGATATTAAAATTTTCATAATTAACCCTTTTTCTCCTCAAATTGGTTTCATTTTCTGATTCTTAGGTGACAGGCTGACCTTATAAACTGTACTGTCTTCAGTGTAAGAAAAACAACTCCCTAGGAAAGGGTGGAACATTAATGAAAATGAAGAGCAGTGATTCATGTAGTTGTGGTATTGTCCAGTATAGAAAAAATACTGCTATTAATATTTACATATCCTTGAATATTAATGTAACATACAGTATATTTTCTAATTTTGTTCTGTAACTGGAGATCTTTTTATGGTTTTAGGCTGAGATAAATCGGAGGGTAAACTGTGATCTATTAGGCCATTTCTAGGCAGAAAAATAGCACATCTGTCTTTTTATTTCCTAAAAAAATGTTGGCTGTAATATTTAGGACACTTTTTTCAAGCATTAGATTGTTTTACATCTCTGGTATTTTATGAGCTGTTTTACTCTTCAGTCTAGTTACAACTTTTGATAGATAGCTCAACTCGTTCTACCTTGTCGAACAGCAGAGTTATTACTTAAAACTTAAAAATTTTAATAAAGACTGAAATGTTAATGCTGGGTTCTAGAATTAAAAAATGTGAACTTTGCTAATTTGCTTTACCTGGCCAGCAGAGCCTGCCGTGAATTGGAATGCTTTCGGAATCCATTAAACTTCAGTATTGACTCTTTTCATATCTGTATTTTGAGGAGCTGAAAAGACTGCCTCTTTAACTGTTTCACTGCATGACTTCACTGCAAAAGCCTTTGGAAATGTAGGAGAACCCTGCTGCAAACAACAATGAAGAAGTGAGCAGTGTAAAAATAAGAATAAAAAGAGCTAGAGACGAATAAGAAGTTGAGTCCAAAGAGATATTAAGTAGTGTTTCCACAGTCTGACAACACCTCCTCTGAACCTGTCTTTTGACTGTGTTTATATGTCATATGCGGATTTTATGAAGTTCACAACAAGCCAAACCCCATAGGTCTTAACAGAAGCTCTTACTGTGATACTCCTATAATATATAATTTGTAAATTTGAGCTACTATGTTTTAATACATACAGTTCCTTTTTTCCTATTTTCAGCCATATGCCAGGAGCTTGATGTTTCAAGGAGAGAAATGTTAATCGAGTCGTCTTAAGCAGGAAGTAGGTGGATAGGAAATGATGCCCCAGTTATAGAGAATAAGAGGCAAGAAAACAGGGAAGGAGAAGCCAGTTCTGCGTTGGAGTAGGTCTGCTTGACTCCAGCAGCTGCTTTTAACAGTAGGAGTGGAAAGGTGCTGCTTTCCAGAGCAAGGCAACATTAAGTTACAGAAGCTAATTAGCCATCTTCAGAGGAAGTTGAGCTACTCTACTGGCTTAAAGTTTTATTCCATTATTTCCAAATCTCTCTCAAATGAAAAAACAACAGGTTTATCCAAAATTTGTATGGTGAGGAACATAACTCTAAGTAATCTTTTGCAATACAGTACACCTTCCTGAAGGTATGGCTGTTCTTAAAACTAGATTACTGGAGTGCATTCACAAAAACTAGAATCCTAATGTATGTCTTCAGGAAATCTTAAGGGGAAATCGGTGTTTTCCACATGAGTAGCATCAGCCACTTACATAAAACCAAAGCAAGCTGAAAGGACAACTTGTCCTCTTGTGGCCAGCAGGCTTCAGACTTCCAGGAAAACGGAAGGCCATAATTGTCTGGATTTTAACTTGTTTATCCCTTGCTCCACTTGATTTTTTTTTTTTACTTCCATGCTTCTAGACAAATCTGTGAAGATCTTATTGAAAAGGAGCTTTGCTAAAGCAAATGTGCATAAATTTTCTCCTAGTGCATAAATTTTCCTGTTTTGCTTTTTGCTTGTTTTCAGGCCTTGCATCTTGAAGAGAGTCAATATGTAAACAACAGGTTTGATTTAAAAATTGCCTTGAAGTGCGTTACTATATTTGCTGTTAATATTCTGTAGGGTTTTTTTTGCCCAGGTGAGACCAGATTTTGCGTGTTGTACACGCTATACAGACACATGATCAAAAAAGCCTTCTGATCTATAGGTTTATGGTGATGAGCTAGAGCATGCTCCAGTCCTATTTAAACTAGAAGTAAATTGCAACTGATTTCAATAAGAGCATGGATACTAGGAACTTTTCCTCTGAAATATGATAGAGAGGCTCCCCTCCATATCCTACTTTCTCCCAGAAGAAATAAGTAATCCTAAAAACAAAAAGCAGCTAAATTACTTGAAACAGACCGGTGGACTCTGAGAAAGATTAGTATGACAAAACTGCATTTTAAATTCTAACATTGTGACTGCAGAAGATCTGCTTAGAACATCTCCTTTGAAAGTTAATTCATTTTTTCTGGTTCCTCTTTCTCTTCAAGAATATATATTTGAGTTCTTGAATAGCTGATAAAGAAAATAGTATCCTCTTAAAAAAGTATTAAAGACAAAAGACATTTGACAAAATTTATTTCATTCCTAAAGGAATTTCTTGTTCTTGTTACAGAAGTTGGAACAGGGGATATTCAGAACTCTTTTATATCATGTATTGAATTGGTTTCTTGCAGCCTAAATTAAGTTGTGCCTTTAGTTGTCAGAGAAATTCCAGCAGCGTGTAGTTCTGGTAGTCAAAAAAAACCTTCATGACTGTCAGGACTAGAGTAGTGCTAACATATTTGCTGTCTTTTCTTTTTGAAATTTACAGGTTTTGATTAGAGAAAATGTACCCAATGGAATCTGTGGCCACACTCCTTGAGTTCTACCTGCTGAGTAATTTTAGTTGGGTGCACTCCAAAAGAATCACATTTTTATCTAGTCTTTTAAAAGAAAGAATTTTAGGATTCATTATTATGGAGAAAACTCTAACCAATTCTAGCTAGTTTACGCAGTTCTGTCTTATTTCTCTTAAGTTTATTTGTTGCCCACCTAGTTTCTTTATCTGCAGTGAAAGTTTACAGCTGACTTTGCTACAGCATAAGGTAAATCTAATTTGTAACAGAGATGTTTGAAATTGTTTGCAAATTGTATTACTACCTTACACACCAGTATTTTATGAAGGTTATTATTGCAGCCATGCAACAGTGTATTTTCTTAGTGTTAAATTTCTTCATAAGTTAATAGAAATCATCACAGAAAATTTATTGTTCCCTTTTGATGAAATGACTTTCTGAACTGTGCCTGAGGTTTTACTTCAGTCCAGGATACTGCAGTCTGTTTCTAATCACTGCAGAGAGCTCCACTATCCTCTGGTGCTGCATAGAGGAGATGAGATCTTCTTTGGGGAGGTGTAACCCGCAATTTGGGACCTTAGGTTGCTTTTATTTGGGCATCTTTTACTGGGCAGGCTCTCGAAGGCTGGATTATAGCACTACTTACGGCTATCCAGAAGTTATTTATTACTAATGTGCTACACCCCCAACACAATACTCAGGTTAATCTCTGATCTGGCAGTTGTCGGTCATACCAAGAAGCATCAGCCTCCATCGCTCCGTGCCATGAGCTGGTCCTCAGTGTTGCTGAGCTGCTGTCTTCCTTCTTCTTTTGTAGTTTTTCTATCTTGGCATGTCAGTGGTTTTCTTTTCTTTTTTCCTTTTTTTTTTTTAATTTCATCTTGATGATTCCACTTTTGTGTTTTAAACTCCTAACACCTCTGTGTGCTTTCTTTGTTTCACTTTCTTATCTTGTATGACTTAGTACCCTTTGTGCTCTTGCACTTCTCATTTCTTCCAGCAACAAAACCGCCATCCTGAACAAAATTGAGTACTCCAAATGCTGTAAACGTTTCACTGTCCATAGACAACAACTAGTTTGTGTCGTGTTGTTGTGTAACTACAGCATTTGGAAAGCATTTGAATACAGTAATACAGTAAAATGAAAGTATTATAAAAGTTATTTTAGTTTGGAAAATGTTTCTTAAAGTCAATATTGAGTCTGTTTTGTTTATGCAAGAGAAGGTAAAGGGATGACTTGATTGTGAGAGAGAAATTACCTGTGGCAGATAGATATTTTGTTTGACAGAAAAAATTGTAAGACGATTTTCTAATTGGAAGCTAAAATGAGGCAATTATAGACAAGATGTAATTTTTTTTTTAAGCAGAACATTTGAACATGTGCCCTTCCCTTCATTTGCTGCTTGTCTAATAAACTGCAGTCTCCTTCAGACAGAACTTTAAGCTTTAAGAGCATGTGGTTAGACAACAGCTAGCTACTGCAGAATTTGTGGCTAGAGCAAATTGCAAGTAATAAATAGAAGAGAGCTAAATGAAACTAAATGAACTGGAGTCTTTGCGTTCGTTTGATTGGGGCTTGACTCATCATCCACAGAAAATTAAATCAAATGTAAACCCCATCAGTGTTGCTGTAATCATAGGAGCAAAATTTTTAGTTAGCTGAGTAATACCAGTTAGCATTTACTTCAGAGGAATTATCCCTAGATCAGGTGCCATATGGAATGTTTGAAGCCTGGTGCAGTAGTGGTTGTTTTTTAAGCTATTCACTTGCTGTGGAGGTATTTGCTATTTCTCTTTTTCTCTTTGATGAGGGAACTGTATTCTGAATGCTGTTTTAGAAGAACTAATTTTGAACAACTAATTTTGAACATTACATAATACCAACTTGCTGACTTTTTTTAAATTTTGAGAATCAGTGCCGTCTAGAATATCTTTTGAGCAGAAAGACTTGCTTGCATTCTGTTCAAGTTACAAAATGGACGAGGCAATCCCTATAGACAGTTCATTGCCTGGCTTAGGATTGTTTATTACTCCTGAAAAATTTTCTGGATGTTGATATGTAAGGAGGCTTGAGCATTAAGCAGTAATTGTGAAACGGATGCTTTTTGGAGATCTGGAATGTGAACAACTTGTTTTTCTGGTTCTTGATCATGATATAGAGAAATACTGTGTTTTATGATTAAATACATTTAAACAACTATGTAAGCATTTCCTTTATCTTTTTGCTGATGTCAGTCATTGACTCTTGTTATCCTTTCTTACATATGAGTTAAAAAAACCTGCTCAGTGCCTAGGATATGGTATATTGGAGGAACAAGCAATTCTATGTAACTTTTTTTATATATATTTCAGGGAAGTTGGGAGAAGCGAATTCTAAAAAGTCTAAATAGCATGTGCACAGAACTTGGTGTCCCATTAGCACAGAAGGTATTGTATTATTAGCTTTTTATATATTATTTCTCTTGCCAAAATGACATTTTTTTGAAATTAAGCCTGGTCTTGCACACTTGTACTGTATGTTCATTTTGCACATGTTTATCAAGAGCAGCAAGACTGTTATCCAAATTATTTTAGTACATAATTTTCAGGGATAGTGGCAGTGTATGCGTCTGTTGAACTCAGAAGAAGATGAAGTGTATAGGTTGATCTTCCTCTGCTCTTGCAGTAATTGGCCTCTCTGTGGAGCAGCGAGTCAGAGAGCTACTTGCTGCCTTTGTTACTTGCTGCGTTCATTGCTTTTACTAGAGCGTTTTTCTGTGTGGGTTGAACTATGTAACTTCTAGTTGCATAACCTGTACATAATATAGATATACCTTCTTTGCTGGAGGTTACAGCTGAACTGACATTTTAGGAGAGAACGATATTGATATATCATTACTGTTTTTTTTTTTTTTTGCATTCGTTCCAGATTGGTTTATAATTAAACCCTCTCGAAATGAATAAAGAAAGATCCCAGACTTGCGGAGCAGTGTTAGAATATTTTGTTCTTTATCTTTCTTCTGTTGTATGATAGGTAGCATGGTTTATTTTAGGAGATAAAGGATACATCTGTGTCTGCCTTTCATGACTGTGCCATAGAGATGAATTTGATGATAAAATCCAAAAGCTGTAGGGAATAAGCAGTAAAGCCTCAGTAATATGAAACTGACTAGTAAATAGCCTAAAATTTCATTAGTAAATATATAATACTAATGGCTTGCTTTTTTCCTTGAATTGTATCCCTTACTTGGACTTTCTGTAGTAGAGAGAATATATCTTCAGGCTAGGGATAATTTGTAAGCAAATATGTTTGTGTTGCTAGTGCAATCTCTTTTAAAAAGGCTTGTATTCATTTATGTATTTGAAACAGGCACGTTTTTACTTGTTCAGTTAAAATAGAAGAGTTGCTTTCTTGTGCCTTTCAGAGGCCCGTAAGCGAACAGAAAGAACTACTTAATAAATGGAATGAAATGGGAACCGATGAGCCAGGTAAGGTTAACTAAACTTATGTGCCTTATTTTATACACAAAAAAATAGCATGCACATCTTATAAATAACAGTCAAAGATTAATGTAATGGCTTTAAGGAAAGCTGATGTCAATCTTTTTTTCTAATTTGTAGTGTTTCATTGTGCATAAGTAAATATCAGTCTTGTTACTTTTTTTTAAAGTTATTGTTCTAACTGAATCTTCACTGGGAGGTTATGGTATGATACTCGTCATTCCAGTGCTTTATTAATTTATACAGCTGGTACACAACTCCTATTTTTATGAAATCAGGCTAACTGAAAGAAAATATTCAGAACTACAGAAAGTTAAGCTCAGCCATTTTGTTGACAAAAAATAAAAATAACACACAGAATAGTCGTATTATGCTTTGAGAGAACAGGCTATAACACAGCTGTTTAATATCCAGGTTCTTCAAGATAAATGACTTTGCAAAGGTAATGATTTGTATCCTGCTCAGTACGACCTAAGAGATGGCCAATACTAGTTATGGACTGTCTATGACTATTCCCCATTTTTTTATTTGACTGTAGTATGTTTAATTCAACAAACAGCATACCCTATTAAAAAAACATCTTTTGAATATCATATCACTATGAATGGTTCAATCTAAAGACTTCCGTGGCATAAATAAAAAGCTTCCTGTGACTACTGTTCAGTTAAATATGTATGTTTTAGAAAACTGAGACACTGACTAACAGTAGCATAACCTTGGAGAATGTGTGCTGGTTGTGTCCATGATATCTGCAATGATGCTATTTTAATCTTTGCAGTAATATATTATTCAGATTGCTAAATGGTCTCACAGATACGGTAAAATTGCATGTTTTTTCCCCCATCTATTTTAATTTTAACTTAGCATTATTGAAATCTTATTTCAGATCTAAGTCTTTTCCGGCCTGTTTATGCACCTAAAGATTTTCTTGAGGTAAGTGTTCATGAAACAATGACCCAGCCATTGACTTGCATTCGTTATTTATGTGAAGTGGAAAGAATAATTTGTGGGCCCACTGCTGAATGGGGCAGGTGCCCTGGTACCAAAGGATACAGAGAAGGCAGAGTTATTGAATGTTGCCTTCACTGCTAAGGCCAGTCCTCAGGAATTCCAGACCCTGGGGACAAGAGAGGAAGGCTGGAGAAAGGAAGACTCTCCCTTGGTGGAGGAGGACCAGGTGAGAGATCTTTTGTCCAAACTGGACATCCACGGATCCATGGGCCCTGACGGGATGCACCCACGAGTGCTGAGGGAGCTGGCGGATGTTATCACTAGGCCACTCTCCACCATCTTGGAAAGGTCCTGGAGATCAGGAGAGGTGCCTGAGGACTGGAAGAAAGCCAATGTCACGCCAGTCTTCAAAAAGGACCAGAAGGAGGAGCCAGGAAACTACAGGCCTGTCAGCCTCACCTCCATCCCTGGCAAGGTGATGGAACAGCTCCTCCTGGAGGTCATCGCTAAGCATCTGAAGGACAAGAAGGTGATCAGGAGTAGTCAGCA